ACCCGTCGACCCAGAGGGCCGGGCCAGGACACACCACCCACCGGGCCAGGACACCATCCACATGGACCCAGAGGGCCGGGCCAGGACACCATCCACATCGACCCGGATGACCACCCGCCGGACCAGAGGGCCGGGCCAGGACACACCACCCAGAGGGCCAGGTCAAGACACTATCCACATCGACCCAGAGGGCCGGGCCAGGTCAGGACACCATCCACATCGACCCAGATGACCACCCGCTGGACCAGAGGGCCGGGCCAGGACACACCACCCACCGGGCCAGAGCCAGAAAACCCCAGCCACTAGGACAGAGGGCCAGGTCTGAAGACCACACCAGTATCCAATATGGAAGACAATCTACCAGGCCAGAAGACCACCTACTGGGGTAGATAGGAACCACCACCCCCACCCCAGCCCCATGATCACCTATGGTGCCAGGTTAGATGACCATCCACCAGGCCAGATGTCCTACACTGAAGATCACCCATCAAAGCAGATGGCCGTGCCAGATGACATCGCAACAGGGTAGCTGACCACCCACTGGAACAAGTCACCACACACTGATCAGCTGTGCAGTACAGAAGTCCACCCACTGGGTCAGATGAAAACCAGACCTGACAAAGTCTCTATCAGCGCAAACAAAATTGCTTGGGGAAGATCTGAAAGCTGTCTGAAACTGCAGAGATAAAACTTTGCTTCAATCAACTTCCTGAAAAGCAGGCCTGGGAAAAACACTTCTACCATTTAATAGTCCTTCCTTTATCACATTGATACTAGTTGTAAATGAAATTATGCTCTCTTCGTGGAGTTGAAGAATTGTTAATTACTCACTGCTGTAGTATATTATGAAATTCTGTAAGTTTAGAATAAATTGTGATTACACTGCCATTAGAAAACAATTAAACTTGATTTATCCAAGTTTTTTTTTAAACAAGATACGCTCAAATTTATGCTGCAGATCAAACATATTTCAAGAAATGTTTCCCAGAGAATTTAATAACAATTCTTTCAGTGTCATACTTGATTTGATAGGGCTTTAATTTTAGAACATGAATTACTCAGTTACCAGTTAGCAACTCTATTTACTTGCATTGTATACACTTCTGTTAATTAATTGAAATGTAAATTACAAAATGGAACAGCTTCAGCTTAATCAGATAGTAGGAACTGCAGATGCTGGAGAATCCGAGACAACAAGGTGCAGGGCTGGATGAACACAGCAGGCCAAGTAGCATCATAGGAGCAGAGAGGCTGACGTCTCGGGCCTAGACCCTTCATAGGCCCATCATAGGATCAAGTCAGTCAAGGCATTACACACTGTCTCTGAATATTAATACATTCAGTTCTTTTTCATTTCCATCCGAAATCCTACTTCCACAAGTATTTAAAGGTGTGCATGTATTCTTTTCACACCCACCACCAGTGCCAGCATGATAAACTTTTGTAGGCAATTTCCATAGTAATTTTGGAAATGAACGTGAACATGATTAATTCATCACTGAAAATATTAACAGTATAAAATCATTCTTTAAACCTTTTGATTATTGGGTATCAAGGCATCAGATTGAGTCTGGGCACTTCTTGCTATGAAAGCATTGGCTGGACAAGTTCATACATTAAGCTACTTGGGCAAGCTGCAAAACTTTACTTCCATAGTTTCAGACAGCTTTCAGATCATTTGGTATCTTCAAAAGCAGGGAGGGAAAAAGTTTGGAAAATGTTTCAAACTTTAGGGTTGGAACAGAGATGCTCAACTCCCTAACAACATGAGGCGGACACAAGCTCAGAATTTGATTTATACTACATGTTGACTTAATTAAGCTCAAACAGGGAACAAATTGTAGCATTATACTTTTCTTGAATGGCCCTGTGTTCTGAACTAAGTAAAGGGGTGAGGGCAATGTTTGTGGGAAAAGAAATATACAGTAGAAACTTTGCTCCTGATCATCATGTTTCAGCTATTACAATTTGCCAGTCTGATTTCAGACAGCAGTAGGATCTATAGTTTACACAACTGTTTCTGTACCAGTTGAATCATAAGCACAACACACTGCCATTTGGACCATTGTGCTTCTTCTAGGCTAAGAATTATCCAATGAGTCCCATTCCCTGTTGCTTTGTCACCACAGCCCTGCAATTGTATCCTTTTTGGAAAAAGAAGTCCTGTTGAAAGATGGTGTTACATTTGCTTCCACCAATGTTCTAGACAGTACATTTCAGAGAACAATATCTTGCTATGTTAAACAATTTATTTCTCATCTGGTTACAGAGTCATACAGTTGTACAGTCTAACCCATCCATGCAGACTAGATAACCTAAATTAATCTAGTCCCATTTGGCCCATATCCCTCTAAACCCTTCCTATTCACATACCCATCCAGATGCCTTTTAAAAGTTGTAATTGTATAAGGCTCCACCACTTTCTCTGGCAGTTTATTCGATACATGCACCACCCTCTGCGTGAAAAAGTTGTCCCTTAGGTCCCTTTTAAATCTTTCCCCTCTCACCTTAAACCTGTGCCCTTTAGTTTTGGACTCCCCTACCCTGGGGAAAAGACTTTGGCTATTCACCGTATCCATGCCTCTCATGATTCTATGAACCTCTGTAAGATCACCCCTCAGCATCCAATGCTCCAGGGGAAAAAAACCCCAGTCCTTTCAGCCTCTCCCTATAGTTCAAACCCTCCAACCCTGGCAACATCTTTGTAAATCTTTTCTGAACACTTTCTACTTTAACAACATCTTTCCCACAACAAGGTGACCAGGACTGAATGCAGTATTCCAAAAGCAGCCTAACTAATGTCTTGTACAGCCATAACGTGACCTCCCAATTCCTATACTTAATGCACTGACCAATAAAGGCAAGCATACCAAACACCTTCTTCACTACCCTGTCTACCTGCAACTCCACTTTCAAGGAATTATGAACCACTGTATTGCTAATTATCTTTGCTCTGTATTCTCTGATCCTCCTGCTGATGCAAAGAGATAGCAACAGTTTCCAGCACCGCAGAGGGAGAAGGGAAAATCTTAAAAGTAAGTAATACAAAACAGGTTTGTACTCACGTCTGGGTCGAGGAAGAGATGGCAATGGGCAGGCTTCCCGTCTCTCCCAGCACGGCCAATTTCTTGCACATAGTTCTCAAAGCCCTTTGGCATATTATAGTGTATGATTCCTCGGACATCTGACTTATCCAATCCCATGCCAAAGGCCACTGTTGCCACCACAATACGCAGCTGACCACTCATGAAGTTGTTCTGAATTCTCCTCCGTTCACTGGCTGACATTCCAGCATGGTAGCAATCAGCAATCCACTTTAAAGGCCGCCTCAACTTCTTTTTTGCTGCATTTTGTGTAGAAGAATTGCAAGAAAATAGTCTTTAGAACCTTCTCCCCAGCTAAAACATATTGCAATGTGAACATACTTTTCCAACGTCAGGACAGACATAACAGCATATATAATAAACTCATTTCAGACTGTATTGTTTAAACACACTGCCTGTGGTTGGCAATGAAGCACTATAGTGGTACTGATTTAACTGACCTCCAGAAGAATGGCAGACAGTGTTATAAATGGCATCAGGGCTAAGGAGGGAATTACTACAATTGTGTGAAGACTGCAAATGTACAGGTGAGATCCCAAAGGACTGGAGAATAGCCAATGTTGTCCCATTGTTTAAGGCAGCAGGGATAAGCCAGGAAATTACTCCTGTGAGTCTCATGTCAGTAGTAGGGAAATTATTGGAAAAGATTCTCAGGGACAAGATCTATATGCATTTAGAAGCAAATGGACTTATTAGCAATAGAAAGCATGGTATTGTGTGGGGGAGGTCGTGCCTCACCAACTTGATCAAGTTTTTTGAGGAGCTGACGAAGATGATGAGGGAAAAGCTGTTGATATTGTCTACATGGACTTCAGTTAAGCCTTTGACAAGGTTCCTCATGGCAGACTCCTACAAAAGATGAAGTCTCATGGTATCAGGGATGAGCTGGCAAGGTGAATACAGAACTGGCTTAGTCATAGGAGACAGAGGATGGCAGTGGAAGGATGCTTTTCGGAACAGAGGGCTGTGACTAGTGGTGTACCACAGGGATTAGTGCTGGGACCTCTGCTGTTTGTGATCTATATAAATGATTTGGAGGAAAACATAGCTGGTCTAATTAGTAAGTTTGCAGACAATAGAGAGATTGGTGGAGTTGTGGATAGGAGGATTGTCAGAGGATACAGCAGGATGTAGATCAATTGCAGGCATGGAAAGAAAAATGGTAGATGGAGTTTAATCCAGACAAAGGTGAGGTGATGCATTTTGCAAGGTGAAGTACAGGTGGAAATTATACAGTGAATGGCAGAGCCCTTTGGAGTATTGATATGCAGAGGGATCTGGGGGTGTGCACATCAACAGATGGCTGAAGGTGGCGGCACAGGTAGATAAGATAGTAAAAAAGGCTTATGGCATGCTTGCTTTCGTTAGAATGGGCAATGAGTATAAGAATAAACAAGTTATGCTGCAGCTTTATAGAACTTTAGTTAGGCCACACGTGAAATATTGCATACAGTTCTGGTCACCACTTTGGAGAAGGTACAGAAAAGATTTACCATGATGTTGCCTAGTATGGGGGAAATTTAGCAATGAAGAAAGGTTAGATAGACTGGGTTTGTTTTCACTGGAATGCAAGAGGTTGAGAGGCGACCTAATAAATGTTTATAAGATTGTGAATGGCATGGGTAGAGTGGTAAGTGTGAGGCTTTTCCCACGGTGGAGGGGTCAATTACTCGGCAACACATGTTCAAGGTGCAAAGGAGGAAGTTTAAAAGAGATGTGCGAGGCAAGTTTTTCACACAAAGGGTGGTGAGTGCCTGGAACATGCCGTCAGAGGTAGTGGAAGCAGACACAATAGCATCATTCAAGAAGTGCCTGGACAAATACATGAATAAGAAGGGAATAGAGGGACAAGGATCCTGTAAGTGAAGACAGTTACAGTATGGAAGGACAAAAATGTGTCAGCGCGTGCTTGGAGAGCCGAAAGGCCTGTTCCTGTGCTGTATTGTTCTTTGTTGACAGTCATTTTTGAAGCTTTCTGACTTGCACTCATCAGGACAAATACAAGAATAGCAAACTTCAAATTGATCACAACAACTCACTTTTGGAGAAAAGGGTGCCGATTGGTTGGCAAGCTGACTAGTTGGCGGAGGTGTTGCTATGGAGAACTGAGCAAGGAATTATTAGCTCACCAAGCTTTTGGATAATTCAAAAACATTCTTTTTGTTTGCAGCGTCTGGGTTCTTGTGCATAAATCTATGTCAGTTCTGGAGAGTATAAATGAGCTATGTTACAATCTTCATTTATTATCTGAAATTGGTTGTTACTGGAGCTATAAGTAGTCAGGATGGTTCAAACAAATGCTTCCCAATTGCAGAATCGCGTCCAACAAGTAAACGTTGGTTTTGGGTTTTGCCAGTACAGGTTAGTTGGATACAGTTTGTGCTCTGCCTATTACAAACAGCTGGAGGAACAGCGAAGATTTATAGCTTATGAATCTGGTATTGCATTGCCACTGAAATTCACATATAATGATTGCTCAATTGTCAAGAGTGGCAGAGTATCCTTTTGGGTATACAGCATCCTGTTAGTGGAAAATACCATTTGCGCTATATAGCTAATATTAGCAGCAGCATGAACTGACTTGCTTAATTCGTCTTTCAAGTTTTTGAATTTGTTCCCTCTCCCAGGGCATTCTGAAGTAGATTAGGCAGTGTTCAAGTTCAAAGTGTCAGACTTTAGCTCATTTGCATGTATGAGTTTGCCATTGTTCCTTTGTCACAATGAGTAAGAGTCAGAAATCTTCAGAAATGTGACTTTCAACAAGAATAATCTTCCAAGTGATTGCAGGGACACTACACTGTTGCCACCACCCTAATCAGCGTTCTAGCTATTTATCACAGTCAGTGGTTATTCAGCCAGCTGTGTGTCTATCTGTTGTCGCCAAATCAATTCAGTTAGTCCCATTCCCCTGCTCCTTCTACATGGCCTGGGAAATTCTCTCTCCCGGTGCTTATCTAATTTCCTTGTGGAACCCTCGGTTGAATCTGGCTGTCCTCTCTGGTAGTGCATGCCAGACCATAAGCACTCATGTAAAAATATAAATACATAGAATCCCTACAGTGTGGAAACAGGCCCTTTGGCCCAACAAGTCCACACCTTACAGCATCCCTCCCAGACCCATTCCCTTATAACCCACCTAACCTACACATCCCTGAACACTACGGGCAATTTAGCATGGCCAATCCACCTAGCCTGCACATCTTTGGACTGTGGGAGGAAACCAGAGCACCTGGAGGAAACTCACGCAGACACGGAGAGCATGTGCAAACTCCACAAAGACAGTTGCCTGAGGGTGGAATCGAACCCGGGCCCCTGGCGCTGTAAGGCAGCAGTGCTAACCACTGAGCCACCGTGCTGCCCAAATTCCATGCGGGGATAGTCTCGGATCACCAACCTTTAAGGTTACAGCTGGATGCTGACCAGTTCAGCCAGAGAAACTATACTTGTGGCACTATTTCTTTTGCCATTGATCTTAAATCCATGTTCTGATGCTTGACCCTTCTGCCAATGGAAGTCTGTTTTTGCAGTTTTGTGCTTCCTAACATAAAATATTGAATTTGTCAATGAGGTAATACTGTTACATCCTTGTCAAACAGTCCAGATTTAACTTGCAGTGCTCCAAATGAATTGGTTCCAGATAGTGTTTTCCATATCTGTGAACAGTCCCCTCTTATCCTCACGTATTTCAAGGCTGGCATGATAAATACAGTCCTCTGATACTTGAGATCAACACTGTCCCTTTTTTCAAAAATGTTCTACTCCTACTTACACTCAATGGAATCTTTTAATCAGTGCCAGGTCTCAAATTTATGTATTTAAAGGGCTTAACTCCCAATTTAAGCGTCTTAAAAACAAAAGAGCATAACAAATTAAGCAGTGGCACCACCGTAAAGCTGTAAACAATTGCTAAATTGATACACTTTCCAAATATTTTCTACCCAACTATTGGGTGCATAGCATTTCAATTTCTACCCCAAACAACCCATTCTGAACAGTGTTCTGAGCTTCTGCAGCATACGCAGCTTACCTATAGCTTTCTTTCTTTTTGCTAGGACTTCCTCAGCCATCTCCCCCTCCTCGTTTTGTTCTTGTGGCATCTCCTTTAGTGTAACTCCCTGAAGGCATGTCCGAAGCAGGGCTGCGATGCGGGTCGTCTCCTCTCTCCGTGTGCAGTAGATAATAATGGAATCCAAGGAGGCAAACCGGTCACCTTGGATCAAAGTTACAAGAGCCTGGGCAAGAATGCAGTTAAAGAATTTACCACACAAAAAAAAAGCACACAGATATAAAACACAAAGTTGATATTCTAAAATGCTACTTCTGGAGCAAGGTTTCTGCCACCTACAAGGACAAGGGCAGCAGAAATATGGGAACACCATCACCATCAGCAACCTCCCCTCCAAGTTACACACCATCCAGACTAGGAAATATAGAAACGAAGAGGACGAGAAGACCCTTTGAGCCTGATCTGCCATTCAGTATGATAATGGTTGATCCTTTAGCTCAGCGCCATACTCCTAATCTATCTCCATTACCTTTGATGCCTTTATTTTGTAAAAAAATTATCAATCTTTTATAACACCATCCCTGCAGGATCGCTCAGATAAAAACCTGAAACATTTTACCCAATAGCACTTTGTTCAAGGCAGCTTTTCAAAGGCAATTAGGAAGGTGTAATAAATGCTGCTTTTCTCAATAATATCTAATTTGAATTAATCATTTTAAAAAGTTCAATGATCCACCTGATCTATCTTTAATTTACTTTGGGTCTCACATCCTCAAACACCACATTACTGCAAACAAAAACAGAAATTGCTGAAAAAACTCAGGTGTGGCAGCATCTGTGGACAGAAAGCTGAGATAACGTTTTGTAACCACATTATTGTTTATTTTTATGTAGTCACTAACAAGAACCAGATTGATTTCACTCTCATGTTGTCCCATGAGTGATTAAAAAAGCTCCCTCCTACAATGTGTGATTAACAGTCTGACTCTCAGGCTTTACCTGATCTCTATCCCGGTCTGTAGACACACTGAGAAACAAATTGGCTGGTACATCTGCAGAGCGTACAGCTATTCCTTCTCGCTCCTGGATCCCAAGGTGATGTGCAATGTTCTGGGCTGTCGCTAGTGTGGCAGTGGCTGTTAAACCCAGCAGGCATTTCACTCCCAAACGTTCCTTCAGGACCTACAGATCAGATACAAAATAATCCACTGAAGAATAAACATACTGAAACTCCGCAGGTTAGTCTCTAGTGTTACTGGTGTTTGGAATTTAAACAGAATTTATTCATCCACTGGTTGAAAACTTGACATAACTGAGAAAAGGGATAATTTAATTAAGCCTACTAGCTAACTGACAGTAGTGTTCAGTGAGTCACTGACGTTTTTTTCAAATTCCTACAATATCCTTCCCTCATGTCTCGAAGTAATACAGATACTTTGGCACTGCCTATGCTCTAATAGTCAACTGTCCAGCAGAAATGGTCACACTTTAGCCAAACAACTGTATCCCTTTATCACATTAATGATCATACCACAAGGATTTGGGCAGCACGGTGGCTCAGTGGTTAGCACTGTTGCGTCACAGTGCCAGGGACCCGGGTTCAATTCCACCCTCAGGCAACTGTCTGTGTGGAGTTTGCACATTCTCCCTGTGTCTACGTGGGTTTTCTCAGCGTGCTCCGGTTTCCTCCCACAGTCCAAAGATGTGCAGGCTAGGTGGATTGGCCATGCTAAATTGCCCGTAGTGTTCAGGGATGTGTAAATTAGGTGGGTTATCGGGGAATGGGTCTGGGTAGGTGCTCTGAGGGTCGGTGTGGACTTGTTGGGCTGAAGGGCCTGTTTCCACACTGTAGGGATTCTATGATCTACGACATGCAGCCATCATTAAGGGCTCTTCTGGTCTGGCGATATCCGTGCCTCTGAGCCGGAAGGCCCAGATTCAAGCTTCCACCTGTTTCAGAGGTATGATCATAATAACATTTGAACACAGTGATTAAGAATATCTATACAGCCATGTTCAATCTGTCCTCAATTTGACCCATTAATCTCTGGGATAATTCCAGTGAATCTGTGCAACCTTAAAATCTTTCCCAACAGATAATGCTAGAAATATTCAGCAGGTTAGGCACAACCTGTAGAGATAAAAGAAGGTTAATGCCTCAGATCAATGACCTTTCATCTGAACCAGTGGAAGTTCATCCATCTGACCGAAACTTCAGCCTTTCTGCTCCTATGATGCTGCTTGGCCTGCTGTGTTCGTCCAGCCCTGCATCTTGTTGTCTCTCTTCATCTGAAACATGAATTCTGTTTCTCGCTTAACAAATACTACCTAACCTGCTGAGCTAGTCCAGCACAGGCAGCTTTTATTCTGGATTTCCAACATCTGCAGTATCCTACTTCTGTAAATCATTGCTGAACTTTGATGCCCAAAACTGAAGGAGAGAACTCCAGATGGTATCTAACTAAGACTGTCCAACTGAAGCATTAGCACCTCACTTGTTCATTTTACCAACATCTTTGAGAAAACAAACAACATTTCATTCTATATTATTGCTAAAGAGAGAGATACAAAGTCAAAGCTTTTCATCTTACACTCAAAATTAGGGCACAAGAGTCAGACCTGAGCAAAACAAGGGACACCAATTTAAGAGGGCTAGAATACAAGAGCTGAGATGTACTGCTGAGGCTGGATAAGACTTTGGTCAGACTGCATTTGAAATATTCTAATGAGTTTTAGGCCCTGCATCCAAGGAAGGATGTGTTGGCATTGGAGGCAGTCCAGAGGAGGTTTCCAAGAATGATCCAGGAATTAAGGGCTTATCATATGAGGCGCAGTTGAGGACTCTGGTTCTGTACTCGATGGAATTGAGGAGGATTATGGGGGGAGATCTGAATGGAACTTACAGAATACCATTCGGGCTTGATGGAGTGGGGCTGGAGATGATGTTTCCAATAGTAGGAGAGACTAGGATTCACGGGCAAAGCCTCAGTCAGAAGGGGTGACCCTTTAGAACTGAGGTGAGGAGGAATTTCTTCAGCCAGAGGGTGGTGAATCTGTGGAACTCACTGCTGCAGAGGGCTGTGGAGGCCAAGTCATTGAGTGTAGATGGGTTTTTGATTGGTAAGGGCATCAAGGGTTTTGGGGCGAAGGCAGGACACTGGGGTTGAAAAACGTATCAGCCATGATGGGCTGAATAGCCTAACTCTGGTCCTGTATTTTCTGGTTTTATACAACATGAGAATAAGGTGCTGATTGGTGGATTCATCATTTGCATGGAGTTGCAGTTAACTGTTAATCATTGTAATCAGACAGGGTAGGTATATGGATCAATCAGGGTTGTACCACATGGTTGCAACAGAGATTTGCAGTCTCCATGATCCTTTTTCTCTCCCCCAGTCAGAAAGGCACACTATAAATGCAAATGTTTTCCATGTCTGTTCCTAGCATCCAAGTTCTCTTGAGTGTGAGACAAAAAGCTTTGTGTTGCCTTTTATCAATGTTTAAGTTCTGTACTATCAAACAGTTATTACTTATTATACAATTCGGCAGGTAAACTGCATTGTGGTGATGGCATACGCTATGCAGAAAATTCCAAAGTTCAAATTAGAGCCTAATGTTACATTAGATCATTGTAGCTGAGGAGCTTATATCTGGCAGGAGTGGCTGAGAATTGTTCAGGGTTTCCACTGGTTATTGTTAGCCAACAAGTGCTTTCAGGAAATGCATCAAGGTAGAAGTTGAGCAAGGCCAACATTACAATATCCATCACATACAATACTCAAAGTCAGGGTCCCACTCGTACAGGTCAAATGCTCCAGCAAGCATCATCAGGAGAGAAGGAAACTGAAAATGTAATTAGATGCCCAGTTTGAATTCAGATAGTTTCCCTCAAGCTAATCCTGATCACAGGTTGCACTGCACAAAAGGAGCCACCCTTTCTAAACCACAGCACCACTGAGATGTTCCTCCCTTACCCTACCTTACACAGACGGAGGTAGCACGGTCTGAAGTTGTGAGACCATTCTGAGACACAGTGTGCCTCATCGATACATGCAAAAGCCACTGGGGGAAGTTCATGTGCAGGTGGGAGACAACTTGATCCAGCCCGACCACCACCAACGAGTGCCTCTGGGGAGAGCAACAGCACATGGACCTTACCCTCTTTCACCTGTGGATCCAAAGATAAACACGTGAATCCAAAGCAATCGGAAATGACCTCCAATTACATTCACACAAAAGAATTCTTGCTGCAGTCCAGTTGTTTTAAAATACTTGATGTCTTTGGGCATGTGTTCCGGAGGGGGAAGCATCTTCTGCTCTGCAACCATCCAGTCATAATCCTCAAAAATCATCCAACGTGAGTTGTCGGAATAGAGCCAGTAACTGTTGCACACTGTTCCAATGGTGAATGGAGCTCCAATCAATGGCTAATTTGTCCTGGATAATGCCAAACTACTTGATGTTATTAGAACTGTACTCATCCAGGCAAAGTATTCCGTCATACACCTGCCTCGTAGGTGGAGGACGGGCTCAGGGAAATCAGTCATCATAATTCCCAGTCTCTGACCTGTTCTCATAGTTACAACTGTTCCAGTTGATTTTTTGGTATTTAGCGACTTACAGGATGTTGATGATGAGGAACTATAAGTATTAGTAATAACAATAAATTTATTGGGAGTAGATAGATTCTTGCTGGAGATAGCAAGATGGATGTGGGCAACTCAGGATGGGCAATAAATGCTGGCCCAACAAACAAATAAAATTAATTTTAAAAATGGTCATTGCCTGAAACTTGAGTGACACAAACATGACGTTATTTGCCACTTGTTAGAATAATCAACAAGTATAGATTGCTTCAATACAGGGATAAAGGCAAAAAGATGCAACCAATGGCCTGCCACATAACTGTGGAGAAAAAAGGCAGCAAGAAACATCACAGACAACTCTTCATCTGATGTATCCCACATGAAGATGCATCAAGTTGGATCCGTAATCTCAGTGATTAGAAGAATAAAGCACAATTTTGGAGAAACTTACAAAATTGTTAAATAGAAAAAGAGTAAATGCAGAAAGGATGTTCTTTTTCAGGCTATGGGCTCTAGAATTAGGGGGTGCATCTCAGAATAAAAGGCAGGGCATGTAAGGCTGAGATGAGGAAGAACTCCTTCACTCACAGGGTAAAGAATCTTTGGAATCGTCTACCCTCAAGGACTGTGTAGGTCCAAAACAGACTTCATTAGATTTCTAGTTACTAATGACAAAAAGAATGAAAATATGGCATTGAGGTAGATGATCAGCTATGGTCTAGAATAGTGGAGCAGGTTCTAGGGATTAAATGGCCTATTTTTGCAATGTTCTTAGCATAACAAGGTTAAGAACTACACACAGAGTGTAAAAGGATATACCCATACAGGATTAAGGAATACTTTATTTTTTTATGGCAGGGAACTAATCTTTCCTCATCTCCTGACTCTCATACTGACTGTAAATCCAGAAATTCACAATGAGACATTAAAATGTTGGTAACAGAGGTTTGAGAAGTAAAAGTTAACACAGCTCAAGGCGTGAAGCAAAAAACTGTAAAACTGAAGTTTTTGATGGTTCTGTAAAGTTAACATTTGCAAGGACTAGCTGTTCTAGGGACACAACGAATTTCAACAGCATATTTCTGAACCAAAAATTCTTTCCAGTAATACATTTGAAATATGGATAATATCTCAGAAACCTTTAGCATCAGTATTCAGCAGATTTGTAGCACAGTTACTACAGTGTTTTTGTTGACTGACAGCATTGCTACCAATCTACATGCTTACACATAAAATGGGATTAATGGACACCTACACAAAAAAAAGCACCTTCACTCCATTGTATTGTAAAACTGGCATCCATGTATCCCAAAAGGTGACAGAAATAATTGGGATCCTTTCCATTTGAGATAGAGGGTGCTGTCTAAAATAGTGGTGGAAGCATGTTGGCTCAGTGGTTTGTACTGCTGCCTCACAGCACCAAGGACTCCGGTTTGATTCCACCCTCGGGCAACTGTCTGTGTGGAGTTTGCACATTCTCCCCGTGTCTGCGTGGGTTTCCTCCGCGTGCTCTGGTTTCCTTCCACAGTCCAAAGACGCACAGGTTAGGGTGGATTGGCTATGCTAAATTGCCCGTGTGTGTTCAGGGATGTGCTGTCTAGGTGGATTAATGGGAAATGTAGGGTTATAGGGATATGGTAGGGGGGTGGGTCTTGGTGGGATGCTTTTCTGAGGGTTGGTGTGGACTCAATGGACTGAATGCTTCCACACTGTAGGGATTCTATGATTCTAGGCAGAGTCAGAGTCAACATCAACTTTTGAAATGGAATTGAATAAACACTTGGAGAAATATCTGGAGGCTAAAAGGACAATTGAAATGAATGGAACTAATTGAAGCACTCTTTTGAAGAGCTGGCATATACACAATCAGCTGAATTGCCTCCTCCTATATTGCATTATTCTATAAACAGGTCAAAGAACAATTGAAACTAGGTCAGATTATCGTATTTCTGTAGTTGATGAGCACAATGAACCATTAAATCTTCAACTGACCTTTGCAACAGCTGCTTCCCTCTGTGTCCTTGTCATACTGGAGTGGATACAAACTGCCTTTAGGTTGGACGGAAGCCCTGAAACCTGTCAGAAAGGCAGAAAATAAATTGCGAGTCAATTGGTTACTCACCAATAACCTAGTATTTGGGCATTTTTGCAGGGAGTGCAGAAACAAAGGAAGCTGATGTACATGTGTGCACAATTCATTGAAGACGAAAGATAGGACAAGTTGAACGCAGTTTATAAAGCATACAACATCCAGGGTTTTATTAATAATGACAAAATAAAAAAAGCAAGGAAGTTATTTTAAACCTGTGCAAAATACTGGTTCAGCCTCAAACATCGTATTGCATCATTTGCGGCACCACACATGACAAAGGAAATGAAGGGATGAGACAGTGTACAAGAAGATATACAATATTCCAAGGATGAGAAATTTCAGTTACATATACAGAATAGAAAAACTGGAGTTGCTCTCCTTGGAGAAGAGAAGGTGGAGGGCAGATTTGATAGAACTGTTCAAAATCATGAGGGTTCTGGATAGAATAAATAGGGAGAAATTTCCCACTGATCACAGATTTAAGATAATTGGCAAAAGAAACAACAGTGACAGGAGAAGAAACATTTTCAGGCAGCATTTAGTTAGGGTCTGGGATGTTCTACATCACTGTGTGGTGGAGGTAAGTTCAATCAAAGGATTCAAGAGAAATTTGGCCCACTCTCCGAAAAGGAACAATTTTTAGGGTTACGGGGAGAAGGCTGGGGATTGCCAATCAGTGAATTGGTCCTGCAAAAAGTCAGCATCAATGAGATAGATTGAATGGCTTCTTCCTCTATGCTAAAAACTGCATATTGCTTGCGGTTCTTTCCAAGAGACTTAGAAGATGTCCTCATACCTGATACAAAGCAAACAATATATCAGTTTTTTTTGTGCCCTCAGGCTATCCCAAAGCAGTTCACATCCAACCAAGTACTTTTTGCATATTTATTCTTTCTGAGGATCTGGGCATCATGGGCTATATCATTATTCCAACCCCTCATTGTCTCAGAAAAAGCGGTGTGCTGACTTCTTGAAGTGCTGCAGACCCTATGGTCTCTGAACACCCACAATGCTGTTAAGAAGGAAGTTCCATGATTTTGATAGAGTTCCAAATCAGGATGGCATGTGTCTTGATAGGGAACACGCAGGTGATGGTCCCAGGTATCTACTGCCCCTGTCCTTCCAGGTGGTCGAGGTTGTGGGTCTAGAAGAGTGAATGTTACTTGCTACTTATTAGCCCAAGCGTGAATGTTCTCCATGTCTTATTGCTGGAGTGGAGCGTGTTGGAGGCATGGAGCAGAGATGGTTATTGGACTCATGACTGATGTGCGCAGTCAGCGGCTAACAAGGCTGGTCAAACCACATGTGGAAGGCCCTGCACTGATCTACTGTAACGTAATGTTTATCTGACTGTAACGTTTATCCTTTTAACTTTATGTCTTATTTTCTAACTTATACTACATTGTAAGGTAATGTAAATTTTTGCTTCTTTATTTCTCTTTTCTTGTATCTAGGATTGTACCTAGGTACTTTGTACCCAAGATGTCGCCATGAGGGCTAACATTATAGACTTTTCACTGTACTCCTGTACTTCTGTACTTCAGCACACATGACAATAAAACCTAATCCTAATTCAGTATCTGAGGAATCACGAATGATATTGAATATTCTGCGAACATCTGCTAAAATTTCCCTCTACTAATCTTATAAGAGAAGAAAAGTCATTGATGGCACAGCTGAAAATGCCTGGTCCTGGAATGCTACACTTAGGAATTCCCACAGTTATGTCCTTAGATTGAGATGACTGACCTCCAGCAACTGCAATTTTTGTGCTACATATGATTCCAATCAGTAGAGTGGTTGCCATTATTCCCATTGTTTCCATGAATCCATACTCAGTCAAATGCTGCCTTGATGTCAAGGGGAGTCACTCTTAACTCACCTGTTGAGTTCAGCTCTTCCATACTTAAAACCAAGGCTGTAATGAGATCAGAAGCTAAGTGGCCTTAGCAAAACCCAAACTGAATAGCTCATAGCTAAGCAAGTGCACACCTTGCATTTACTTTCCTGATAATAGACAGTAGATTGGTGGGGCAATTATTGGTTCAGTCAGATTAGTTCTGATTTTCGAGTTCTGTGGAAGTCATGCTGGCTTCAAAACATTAACTCTGTTTCTCTCTCCAGAGATGGTGGCAGGCCTGCTGAATTTCTCTACGTTAGTGCCTTGTGGCTACAGCATTTATACAGCTCGTTCAATCCTCAGGGTGTAGAGAGTCAGGATTCAATGATGGAAGCTAGTGTTGGACTGAAGGAAATGCAGCAGCCAGTGTGTTTCAGTATGGTCCCATGGGCAGCTTTTTTTTCTTTATTCATTCACAGGATGAGAGCATCACTGACTAGGCAGCATATATTGCCCATCCCTAACATAACAGCTGCAAAACAAATGACTAAGCTTTTCAGTCCCAGCTGAAAGACCTTGTGACAGATGCTGCCTGACCTGCTGTGCATTTCCAGCATTTTGTGTTTATAGTTCAGAATTCCAGCAAAGTACTTCACCTTGCCTCCATTTGGTGACATTATATATTATGGTATTAATACTTCATACAAAGTGCTGATAGTTTATAGTTTAGGTCTGTGACTGAGAAGCAACTGAAGGTGGACTGGTATATCATCTGTTAGGATGAAACATACATCATTATTTGTGCAACAAGAACAAAGTTGCTGGAAAAGCTCAGCAGGTCTGGCAGCATCTGTGAAGGAGAAAACACAGAGTTAACGTTTCAGGTCCGGTGACCCTTCCTCAGAACCGAGGAAGGGTCATCGGACCCGAAACGTTAACTCTGTTTTCTCCTTCACAGATGCTGCCAGACCTGCTGAGCTTTTCCAGCAACTTTGTTTTTGTTCCTGATTTACAGCATCCGCAGTTCTTCCGGTTTTTATCATTATTTGTGCAGTTAGGAGTTACAGGATAGAACAGAAATGGAGTTGTAATAACCATCTGGGTTACAAACAAATACTGTTTGTTTTACTAAATTTGAGAATGCAGTGAGGGTCAATCCTTAAAAACTGATGGACTACAAAAAAAACCTGAAAATCTCACCTGATCATCCATAAGCGAGACAAGAGGTGAAATCACCAAGGTGATGCACTTTGACCTCTTGGCATACAAGTATGCAGGTAACTGGTAGCAAAATGATTTCCCCATTCCAGTGGACAGCACAACCAAAGTAGAAAGACCTAGTTTGGTGACAAAGAACAGAAAAAATACCATACTAGCACATTAGGCACCTGTGTAAATGCTGCGTTCAAGCGTTACATTTTAATTAACTGTTTAAGTTGTACAGAAATGTTTTATTAATCAGCACCTACAGGACCAGGAGTGTACCTGTTGATCAAATATTCCAATTGATCAAGTGGTCCACATAATCGATGCAAAAACACACACTAGGTAATAGAAACGAAATGCAGGGAGTTTACATATCATTATACTTGATTTACAGCATAAATCACTTCAATAACAATGCAACTTAAATAAAAAACTTACTAGCAGAGAGCCTTCTCACTCGCACCCTCAGCTGACTACTCAGACATCATAGAGATTGTGATAATACAGTGAGCATCTGGTATTTGAGGTGTATGATTATTGCTGGTTTAATCGAGTGTGCCAGTTCACGAAGTGCCAGTTAAAACAAAGTTTGCTGTAGATACTTTATATGCAGAAGCAGAGGAGATGTGAATCATTCTAATTGTCACAAGGAAACCAACAATTCAGGAGAAACTTTCACTCTCCTCGTTTCTCACCTCTTGCAGCCTCCATATTGAGTGGCCATATCTTTCATCCCTGGTTGCAGAGCTTTATTTCTTTATTTTAATTCATTAACGGGATGAGGGCGTCACTGGCTAGGCAGCATTTATTGCCCATCCCTAACTGCCCAGAGGACAATTCAGAGTCAACCACATTGCTGTGGATCTGGAGTCACATGTAGGCCAGACCAGGTAAGGATGGCAGTTTCCTTCCCTAAAGGACACTGGTGAACTAGATGGGTTTTTCCAACAATTGACAATGGATTCAAGGTCATCATTAGTTTCTTAATTCCAGATATTTATTGAATTCAAATTCCACCATCTGTCATGGCAGGATTCAAACCAGTGTCCCCAACATGTTATCTGGGTCTCTGGATTAACAGTCCAACAATAATACCACTAGGCCACTGCCTCCCCCATAATCATTATTTGACAGCAAGGGTTTCCATGTAGTGCCAATAGTTACAGTATAAGCAGACCTGCCCACTGGAGAGATTGCAACTACTGTTGCCATAGGTACATTATTCAAACATGGTCACTGCCTGAACAGATTTTTTTTTTTCTGACACACCTGATAAAATCCTCATCACGGTTAGTTCCTGGCCTGGTCTGAATGAATGGAACCCGAGCTCTGTCAGGGCTTCAAATACCTCTGCTGGAGTAGCTGATAAAGAGGGTTTAAAAAAAAAGATTAATAAACACAGTGTAACCAAAATCCTGTCCCTTGTGTCAGCTGTGCCTCAGCTGGTAGCACACGACACTTGAGTCACAAGGCACATGCCCAAAACAAAGAGTACAAAAACAGCCCTGAGAGAGCACTGCACTTTCGGACGAGTCATTAAACCATGGGACCAAATGCTCTCTCAGGCCAATGCAAAAGATTGTATCGCACCATTTCAAAGAAAAGCAGGGAACCTATCTCTGGTGTCTTGCTAATATCTATTCCTCAATCATCATCATCAAAAGATTTTCTGGTCATTATTATCATACTGCTGTTTGAGGCAGTGTGTTCTTTGGAAATGGGCTGCCCCATGTTTTACCTGACAGCAGTGTACACTGCTTGACACATCCTGAAAACTTCTACAGAAATGCAAAACCTTTTCTTCGTCATGGTTAATACATTTTTCCCCAAGGGAAAGTAGTCCATGTGATTGGCTAGCCACAAACTCCAATACACCAACTCAGAGGATCCCTAACATTTTCAAGACTCAATCTCCACCACCTGGAACAATAACTTCTGCTCCAAGTCACACCCCATCCTGACTTGAAATTGTGTTGCTTTTCCTTCTGTACAACTGGCTCAAAATCCTGGAACACCTTATCCAACATCATGGTGGGTGGTCCATACACTGAATGGATCACAGCAGTTCAAGGTGGCAGCTCACCACCACCTTCTCAACAGCAATTATGATAGACAATAAATGTTGGCCTTGCCAATAATGTCCACATCACATGACCAAATATTCATGCATATTTTTACATAATTAAAGCTTCGCTCAGCATCAGCCACTTGTTATTCTGTCCCTTTTAGTTCAAAGTAAAGGAGTGTTCCATTTGTGGGAGTCTCAACAAACAGAAAAAAGACTGCGCTTAACCATAATAAATTGTTACGGCATCAGGGATAGACAGAAATTCATTTAAATATTCACCCACAACTACGAATAAAATAAGGTAGCCACACAACTAAACATTACACGAAGAGAAACAGTCCCTCTATAATACCCTCTTACCCATTGATGCACATCAGACATGCAACCTCCTCCAGAGGTGATAATCAAACCATTTAGAAATATGATCTTTTCTCTCATACCAGGTTCACATACATTTTTGGAAATGATAGCTTAGAAAGATTGGAGTGGGGAGGGGCTATAAATTCATTCGTGGGACGCAGGTGTCGCTGGCTTGCAGCATTTATTGCCCCCGTCCCTAGTTGCCCTTGAGAAGGTGGTGGTGAGCTGCCTTCTTAAACTGCTGCAGTCCACGTACTGTGGGTTGACCCACAATACCCTTAAGGAGGGATTTCCAGGATTTTGTCCTACTGACAGTGAAGGAACAGCAATATATTTCCAAGGTGCTGTTTAAGGATCCCTCGTGAATTTTTGCAGTGCATCGTGTAGATAGTACACACTGCTGCTACTGAGCATCGGTGGTGGATGCTTGTAGATGTAATGCCAATCAGGCGGGCTGCTTTGTCCTGAATGGCATCAAGTTTCTTGAGTGCTGTTGTGACTGCACCATCCAGAAAAGTGGGGAGTATTCCATCACACTCCTGACTTGTGCCTTGTAGAGTTATTCACTGAAATATTCCTAGCCTCTGACCTGTTCTTGCAGCCACTGGATTTATGTGGTGAGTCCAGGTGAGTTTCTGGTCAATGGTGATTCCCAGAATATTGATAGTAGGGGAATTCAGTGATGTCAAGGAGCAGTGTTTAGATGGTGTCTTATTGGAGACGGTGCCTTATTGGAGACGGTCATTGCCTGGCACTTGTGTGGTGTGAATGTTACTTGCCACTTGTCAGCCCTAGCCTGGATATTGTCTAGATCTTGCTGCATTTTAACAAGGACCGATTCAGTATCTGAGGAGTCACGACCAGTGCTGAACATTGTGCAATCATCGGCGAACATCCCCACTTCTGACCTTTATGAAGGAGAGAAGCTCATTGACGAAGTGGCTGAAGATGGTTTGTTGAAATGCAATTAAATCTCATACCTATGACCTTTCCATCCTCTCCAAGCCTGTAGAGAGGTTCCACGGCTGGTGGAGCTTTTGGTTTCTCAAACGTCGGACAAGCAGTGTTCAGTTGAAACTCAGCAGCAGACATTGGTTCAAGTTGCGCCCTTGTATTATCTGCAGCCAAGGTGCCTGCAATGGAAGTGTCATAGCAAGAACATGAGTTAAAACAGTGGCCTAGACATGTAATAGGGGCCAGTTTCAGAGTCAGCTGCCCTAAATAGTAATTATATGAGGAAAAAGGGTTCATTTCAACAGCTTCTGTAAGGTGGGAAACTGGCTCATGATTTATCTCCAACCAATTTTCATTTCTAATGATGTCACAAATCAATAAACTGTGTGGTCAATTTTAAGTAACTCATTCGTAAGAACGCAAGAACTAGGAGCAGGAGTAGGCCATCTGGCCCCTCGAGCCTGCCCCGCCATTTAATAAGATCATGGCTGATCTTTTTGAGACTCAGCTCCACTTACCCGCCCACTCACCATAACCCTTAATTCCTTTACTGTTCAAAAATTTATCTAGCCTTGCCTTAAAAACATTCAGCGAGGTAGCTTCAACCGCTTCACTGGGCAGGGAATTCCACAGATTCACAACCCTTTGGGTGAAGAAGTTCCTCCTGACCTCAGTCCTACATCTGCTTCCCTTTATTTTGAGGCTATGCCCCCTAGTCCTAGTTTCACCTGCTAGCGGAAACAACCTCCCTGCCTCCACCTTATCTATTCCCTTCATAATCTTACATGTTTCTATAAGATCTCCCCTCATTCTTCTGAATTCCAATGTGTATAATCCCAGCCTACTCAGTCTCTCCTCGTAATCCAACCCTCCCAACTCTAGAATCAACCGAGTGAATCTCCTCTGCACCCCCTCCAGTGCTAGTATATCTCTTCTCAAGTAAGGAGACCAAAACTGCACACAATACTCCAGGTGTGGCCTCACCAGGACCCTATACAGCTGCAGCATAGCCTCCCTGTTTTTAAACTCCATCCCTCTAGCAATGGCAGACAAAATTCCATTTGCCTTTTTAATTACCTGCTGCACCTGCAATCCTACCTTTAGCGATTCATGCACAAGGACACCCCAGTCTCTCTGCACAGCAGCGTGCTGCAATTTTTTACCATTTAAAACATAGTCCATTTTGCTGCTATTCCTACCAAAATGGATGACCTCACACTTATCAACATTGTACTCCATCTGCCAGACCTTTGCCCACTCACTTAGACTATCTATATCCCTCTGCAGACTTTCAGTGTCTTCTGCACAATTTGCTCTACCACTCATCTTAGGGTCATCTGCAAATTTTGACACACCACACTTAGTCCCCAACTCCAAATCATCTATGTAAATTGTAAACAATTGCGGTCCCTACACTGATCCCTGAGGCACACCACTAGCCACTGACCGCCAACCAGAAAAACACCCATTTACCCCTAATCTTTGTTTTCTACTAGTCAACCAATCCTCTATCAATGTCAATATATTACCTGTAATACCGTGCGACTCTATCTTATGTAGCAGCCTTTGGTGTGGCACCTTGTCAAATGTCTTCTGGAAATCCAGGTACACCTCATCCACAGGTTCCCCATTGTCCACCATGCAAGTGATGTCCTCAAAGAATTCCACCAAATTAGTCAAACATGACCTGCCCTTCATGAACCCATGCTGGGTGTTCCCAATGGGACAATTTATATCCAGATGTCTTGCTATTTCTTCTTTAATGATAGATTCAAGCATTTTCCGCACTACCGAAGTTAAGCTAACTGGCCTATAGTTACCTGCTTTTTGTCTACTTCCTTTTTTAAACAGTGGCGTCACATTGGCTGTTTTCCGATCTGCGGGAACCACCCCAGAATCCAGTGAATTTTGGTAAATAATTACTACATAATTCCCTACATTACAGACATGAAAGCAAAATTCCAGGAAGGTTGCCCAAAAAGGATTAGACTGGCCTAATGGGTGATTTCCCGAGTGCATCCATGGCTGGTTCCATTCCATTAATTATCAACACCCTCCACTGCTGAGAAAAATCCCATGTCCTTTGAGGGAAGCCAGACCATTCACAGATCCTGGAGAACATTACTAAGGTCCACCTATCCCCTCTACATCTGGATTTTCATTTGTACTGCAGTACTTACAAACCTCATTCCATTCCAAATTGCAGGCCATCAACCTGCAAGAATCAACATGTGATTCTTCAGTCACGTTTGACAATGAATCAGACCAACTTTTCCATTCAACCACAGACATAATGTGATTTTAAAAGCGTTCTATATTTTCTTTTCCTCCACCCTCTTCCTTTACACAGTACATTGAAAATGAAACTGCTTTTTATTGAAACCTGAACCGTTTGTTTCTCAGTCATGTCTCTTACCCCTCGCAGTGTTACATATGGATGTCAAACGAGCTACCTCCTCCAGGGTTGGTAATGGGGCAACGTCATCATCTGTCATCTCAGACATTTCCACTTTCTCTTCAGATGCTGCTTTAAACCCAGTGTTAAATCCTGAAACAAAGAATAACATTGCCAAGGTTATGGCACTGTTCAGATATTATAAAACGGTGTTTAGTATCACTTCTATGCTGTAAAATTTCCAGTCCAGAAACAAGGAGGTTACTTTAGCAAGAATTACTGTAGTATGTAAGTTTAGTCTGGACATAAGGCAAACAATAAGTGTGATTGAGGTTAAGGGGATTACCAAGTTGTGTGCAAAGGCGTCTGTCATCTAGTAATTGGAAAGGGGATAGAAAGGCACTTCAGTATTTCTGGCTCGAGACCAATACTCCTTCCCACACCATGGGTCATTTTCAGGGCAATAGCCTGAACAGTGAAAGGTCACAGAACTGCAAGGAGAACTTCTTCACTCGAAGGATTGTAAATCTGTGGACTGTGGAATTCCCTGTCCATTGAAGCATCTGAGACTACCTCGTTGAATGTTTTTAAGGCAAAGTTAGGTACATTTTTCAACAGTAAAGGATGTAATGGTTATGGTGGGCCAGCGGGTAAGTGGAGTTGAGTCCACCTGAATGGCAGAGAAGGCTCCTATTTCTTATGTTCTAGGACAGTGATAAATTTCAAGAGGGCAAAGACATTGTTTGGACATGCACAATGAAGACAAAATTTAATATAGAGAAGAGTGAAGTTATTTATTTTAGCAGGAGTAATGAGGACATGCAGGGTAAAATGAATGATTTTACAAGGGTACTATAGGAAATGGGGGTCCCCTTTAAAATTATGTTCTTAGTATTCCATGTTTAGTACTTCATATGTAGCATGAGACCTCCTTTAATTGTGTTATAGCAGTAACTAATTTCTACAAATGTAAACAAAGATTTATCATGTACCACATTACTTGATTATGAGTGCAGTGTTTTCAAAAATGTTGACTCTCTGCTAGATCTTCCAGCTTTCTATAACTAAATGTTTCAAGTTAGTTTCAGTTGTTGCTTGTCTCTGTACTTATTCCTTCAGAATGCAAAAGACAGAATTAGAACCTCATGTATGCCTTTAGGACTAGATTTGTTTACAATACGTTTCACCTTCCCTCATTGACAAGCTGCAAAAGCACAAGAAACAAACACTCTCATTCCAATTTTTAAAAGGGAAAAATGGATAGGTATAACCTGCTTTCATGTCTACTTGTTGAACAGCAACCTTACTCCCACCTCTTTACCCCTAATCAAAAAAGGCGTTAAATTCATATAAAAAGTTACTAAACAAAAATCTGGGATAATAAATCTCTAGATGATTCCTTTGGGATTCTAGAACCACTTTCTTCCAGCTGGCTTCATTTGTTTCAACACATACCAGCTTAACCACTCTTGAGCTGTCCCCAACAGGCACAGATAAAACAGAATCAGGCTATTAGCATGTCGTCCTGCACTACCTCAATCTCAGCAATCAGCCTTTTGGCAACAACTAAGATGTGAACTAGAACCAGCAACAGAATGCAGGAACTTCAGGAATGTTTATTCACAAGCAACCCTAATCTAAAACATTGATCCCAATATCATCCAGAAGCCTGGGTGGGAAGAAGAGTGGAGGTATCATCTCAGCCAAGCTGGTGAAACGTGTCCATGGGTTCCTGACTGTAGCATCATACTACTTGTTTGGGCTTTTGCCTGGTCTGGCGGGGCTGCCGACTGTGGTCTCCCCTCATTACTATAAAATCACCGTATGTTTTTTTTTTAGGGAAAAAAAGCACAATGTACAACCTCTGAAAGGTAGGAATGTTGTGACTGAATACACTTACCCTGACCACTGCAGTTCTTGGCCCAGTGACCTGTTGCCCCACAGCGGAAACACATGTCTCCCTTTCTGCTGAATCGACCAGCACCACCACCAAAATGTTCCCCTTTTAAATTCCACTTCTGCTTCCAGACCTTTGGACATCCGTAACATCAGAAAAACATATTAGTAAACTACATTTGTTTACAAAACCAAAAGAACTGTGGATGCTGGAAATCAGAAGCAAAAACAGAAATTGCTGTAAATGCTTAGCAGGTCTGTAAGCATCTGTGGAGAGGCATCAGAGTTAACGTTTTGGGTCCGGTGACCCTTCTGGACCAGAAATGTTAACCCTGATTTCTCTCCACAGATGCTGCCAGACCTGCTGAGCGTCCACATTGTTTTCAAATTCTTTCATCAGCTGTGAATGTAACTGGCAGGACCAGCATTTGTTGACCTTCCCTAATTTGCCTTGAACTGAGTAGCTTGCTAGCCCACTTCAGATGGCAGTTGATCGACAGAAATATAGTTGGCTGTTTGGAACTACACTTTGGATAGACTGGGTAAAACCAGCAGATTTCCTTCCCTAAAAGATTAATGAACTAGATGAGATTTTACAAGAATCAAGGAGAGTTATGATGATGCCCATTACAGAGATTGGCTTTCAATTCCAGATTTGATGAAGTGAATTTAAATTCCATCAGCTGCTGTCGTGGTGGATATGAATTCATATCCACAAAACATTAGCCTGGAGCTACAAGAACAGCGATTCATCCACACAACATGCTTGAGGTTGATGTTGTTCTGGCAAATGGGCAAATGTTTCATGTTAATTACAATTAGCAAGTAATGGTTCATTCCCAAGAGAAACAATATACAGATGTGATTCATTGCATCTCAGGCAAGATTCACAGAACTCAAAAGGTTTGTTTCTTTCTGATCAATCACATCACTGCTCATATCAATAGTCAGGTCCTTGCCCTTTTTAAAAAAATCTTTCAAATTCTGTAAAACCTGCAGCGTTCCAAATATTAATAACAATCAAACCAGGAAGAACACAACTGCATTGTTTCCAAACTTCCATACTGGTAAAACCTTTCACCTCAAAAAGGGAGAAGCTACTACTTTAATATTCATCAAAAGAAACGTCATGGCCAACAAATGTTTTTGGCAGAAAACAGTTTAAATAAAGTACCTGTCTGCGAAGAGATGCTCCTCGTAACACTCCACCTCTGACATGTGATTTCTTCTTAAGGTTGATTCTCACAAAGTTTCCATCCTTTTTAGGTTGTGCAATTCTAAAACAGATTATAAGCAAAGCTAAAAGTAATGGCAGAGAAGACTGGTCAAACAATCAAGACTCAATGTGACTACAATGTAAACATCTACAACAGAAATCCTTTTCCCTCAGTAAGCTTGCACTTATATCAAGTATATTGCATCCATTCATTCTCCTTCTTTCCACTGCATATTACTTGTTCAAAGAACTCCAATAAATTGGTTAGACATGATCCCCCCTTTATAAAACTATCACGCCCCCAGATTACCCAGATATTTTTTGGTAACCTGCTATACTGTCCTTAGTAATAGCTTCTAACACTTTCCCTCTACAGCGAAAACCTGTTCAAAATACCTCTTCAGTTCATCTGCCATCTCCTTATTTTCCATTATTAATTCCTCAGATTCATGTTATATAGGACCAGTGTTTACATTTTTAAAAAAGTATCAATGATGTCATAGAGTCATACAGCACAGAAACGGACCCTTAGGTCCAACTCATCCACGCTGAACAAGGTTCCCAAAATAAACTAGTCCCATTTGTCTTGTTTCGTCCTTATCCCTCTAAAACTTTCAAATTCATGTACCTGTCCAAATGTCTTTTAAATATTGTAATTGTACCACATCTTTGATATTTCATTCCACATACAAACAAGTGTGAAGGGCAACTGTGTGAAGAAGTTGCCCTTCGGGTCCCTTTTAATCTTTCTCTTCTCATCATAAACCTATGCACTCTAGTTTTGAACTACCCTACCCTAGGGAAAAGACCTTTGCTATTCACCTTATCTATACCCCTCTTGATTTTATAAACCTCTGTAAGGTCACCCCTCAACCTCCTATGCTCCAGTGAAGGAAGTCCCAGTCTATTCAGTCTGAACCTCATAACACAAACCAAATTCACAGCAACATCCTGGTAATTATTTTCCGAACCCTCTCCAGCTTAGTAATATCCTTACTATAGCAGGGTGACCAGAACTGTAGACAGTACTCCAAAAAGTGGCCTCACCAATGTCCTGTACAACCACAATATGACTTCCCAACTCATACTCAAATGGTGTCAGCAATGAAAGCAAGCATGTTAAACATCTTAACCACCCTGTCTACCTGCGACGCAACTTTCAAAGAACTATGTACCTGAAACTCAAGGTCTCAGTCCACACTACCATTAATTGTATAGGTCCTGTCGTTGTTTGTTTTACCAAAATACAATACCTCACATATATCAAAATGAAATTCCAACTGCCACTCTTCAGCCCATCGGCCCAACAGATCAAGATCCCTTTGTAATCTTAGGTAACCATCTTCACTGTCCACTGTACCACCAAATTTGGTGTCATCTGCAAACTTACTAACCATACCTCCTAAATTCTCACCCAAATCACTTATATAAGTGACAAAAAGCACTGGACCCAGCACCAATCCCTGCAGAACGCCGCTGGTCACAGGCCTCCAGTCCAAAAACCAAACCTCCAATACCACCCTCCGAGTCCTACTGTCAAGCCAACTTTCTATCCAATTGGCAAGCTCTCCGCAAATCCCATGTTATTTAACTTTACTAACCAAGCTACCATGCAAAACCTTGTCAAAGGCTTTGTTAAAGTCCATGCAGGCAATGGCTAACTCTTTGCCTTCAACCTTTTTGGTTACATCCTCAAAAAACTCAATCAAGTTTGTGAGACACGATTTCCCACGTACAACATCATGCTGACTATCCTGAATCAGTCTTTGCCTCTCCAAATGTATTTAAATCCCATTTCTCAGAATCCCCTCCAAAAACTTCCCCACCATTGATGTCAGACTCAGTGGTCTATGGTTTTCTTAAATAAAGGCACAACATTGCATGCAGGTAGGGGTTATTGTTTCCAAGCCTTCTCCACTATACTGTCTACCTGAGACTCCACTTTTAAGGAGCTATGAACATGAACCCCAAGGTCTCTTTGTTTAGGCAATACTCCACAGGACCTTACAATTAAGTGTGTAAGTCCTGCCCTAATTTGCCTTTCCAAAATGCAGCACCCCACATTTATCTAAATTAAACTCCATCTGCCTCTCCTCAGTCCATTGGCCCATCTGATCAAGATCCTGTTGTACTCGGAGGTAACCTTCTTCACTATCCACTACGCTTCCAATTTTGGTGTCAGTGCAAACTTACTAACCATGCCTCCTATGCTCACATCCAAATCATTTATATAAATGACAAAAAGCAGTGGACCCAGCACTGAACCTTGTGGCACACCACTGGTCATATGCCTCCAGTCTGAAAAGCAACCCTCCATCCAAGTTGTCTATATTTAATATATGACTCCTCTTTATTCTTGACCACAGAATCATTATCTTTATTCATCCACTGGTCCGTTCTCTTACCAGCCTACCCTTCACTCTAACAGGGACATAGTGCCTCCGAACTGTAGTTATCTTACTTCTGAAAGCCTCCCTTTGCCAGTCCCTTTACCTGCAAACAGTCATACCATCAAGACATGCCTTACTCCAATTAAGAACTTTAAGTTTTATATAAGGCCTATCATTTTCCATAGCTACTTTAAAACTAATAGAATTATGATGTAACAAGGTGTAAAGCTGGATGAACACAGCAGGCCAAGCAGCATCAGGGGAGCAGGAAAGCTGACGTTTCAGGTCTGGACCCTTCTTCGGAAATGGGGGAGGGGAAGGGGATTCTGAAATAAAGAGAGAGTGGGGGGAGGCAGATAGAAGATGGATAAAGGAGAAGATAGGTGGAGAGGAGATGGACAGGTCAAAGAGGCGGGGATGGAGCCAGTAAAGGTGAGTGTAGGTAGGGAGTTAGGGTGGGGGTTGGTCAGTCCAGGGAAAACAGACAGGTCAAGAGCGTGGGGATGAGGTTGGTAGGTAGGAGGTGGGGGTGGGGCTTGAGGTGGAAGGAGTGGATAGGTGGGATAAAGGACGGACAGGTTAGGGAGGTGGGGACGAGCTGGGCTGGTTTTGGGATGCGGTCGGGGGAGAGGAGATTTTGAAGCTTGTGAAGTCCACAATGATACCATTGGGCTGCGAAATATGAGGTGCTGTTCCTGCAGCCTTCGGGTGGCATCGTTATGGCACTGGAGGAGGCCCAGGATGGACATGTCGTCCTAGGATTGGGAGGGGGAGTTGAAGTGGTTTGGGACTGGGAGGTGCAGTCGTTTGTCACGAACCGAGCGTAGGTGTTCCACAAAGAATTATGATGTCTTTAGAAACTCTTGCTATCTATATTTCTTGCTAGCTTTCTCTTGTACTCTAATTTTTCCCTCAATCTTTTAGCCATTTGTCATTTGGAATATGAAAAAGGATGTCTCCTGCCATCCACCTTTGCTTTTCATTTAATTTCAATCAATTATGATCTCTGGCAGCTCATGTATTGCGAGATTACGACTATAGAAACGTACTTCATACAAGAAATCTGAAATTAATACACATAAAAATGCACTGAAGAAACAGTCCAGAAAGATTACATTCATGGAACATTTACTATTCTGAAGTACATAATGGCATTTCCTCTAATTGGAGCAGAACACACGGTTCCACCTCAGGCGTGGTCTTATAATAGATATACTACAACTGCAATCAATTTAAGAATTTGTTCTGTTCAATTAAGTTTTAAAATAGAAAGCAAAACAACGTCCAGTATACCTTTCTCACATACCTCCGATATGGATTGCTGGATCAGTGTCTGTACCTACCTCACTCCACTGCTCTTCTGAGCCTCTGAACAGAGGTTCCCCTCTTCTACATCTCCGTACAGATTCTCCTTTGGCAGCTCAGGTTTTGGTTTCCCCTCATCCTCATTTGCAGCTGGGCTGATGTCATCCGCCACAGATTTGCAACTGGCTCTGAGAATTCGCTTCTTCCGTTTCTGAGCTGTGACAGTGTTTGAAGGTTTCGTTGCTTTTCTGCGTTTCTTGGCATTGCCTTCGAGGTCTTCACAAGCGTCAGCACTCATTGCGCCTGCTGCAAATGTCCTCTGTCTCTTTTTGCTGCTTGTCTTTAGGTCCTGTGAGCCTTTCCCAGCATTTAGCTCTTTAGAGTGCTCACAATCAGTCGCTATCTCTACTCCACCACAATTTTCCTGCGAAGATTCTTGGGCACCGCAATTTCTCTTTTTACTGGTCACTGAGTTAGTGTATAGTTGATGCTCCAATCTAGTTCTTGTTACAATTTGTACGGTCCCCGTGCCAATATCTTTTTGGCAAGCATGATCATCTCGGAAATAGCCATTCCCTAATTCTGCAGGCTTTTCAGAATCCTGAAAATCACTAGTGGAAACTGATAGCTCATCATGTTTAACTTTTAAAGAGACGTTACCCAATGAGGAGGGTGTATCACCAGCTGAAGGAGATGTAGCAGTCACTGAACAGGACCCCTTATTGACTGTTGAAAAATCACTTTGATGCAGGGACTGCTCACTGGCCACTTGTACTGTGTCATTCACGTTTTGAGATTTGTGATCAACTTGTGAAGTAGAGTGTACTGTGTCATTCACGTTTTGAGGTTTGTGATCAGCTTGTGAAGTAGAGTCACCAAATGAAGGAGGTTTTCCATGATCTGAGTGGAGATCGTATTTTCCATTGGCTGGGAGTGAAGGTCTGCCCAATATGGGCAATCCAACATCTGGTTGTGTTATCTCCTGGCATCTGTCTAACCAGCCGAGATCAATGGAGGATAATCTCCTGGACACACACTGTTGCAATTGCTGTAGTTTATTTACAGTTCGGTGAGTCCTTGTCTGGGTTCGGAGTACTTTTGATGGGGAAATATCTTTCATGGCAGGATGCTGAAATTCCAGTTGATCAGATCTATTTGGAGAGTCTTGAGGTGCAAGCTGCAGATCTTGAGCAGGCTTGAGGGTGACAGAATGTGTTCGAACAAGTGGGCCGTTCTCCCCATCATTGATCTCTTTGGACAGCTGTGTCCTCCTTGAAGTCAGCGACTTACGGAGAGAAACTGGCCTTTCCTTTCATATATTAAATAAAAAGACATTCACCGTTTTTGCTCTGGTCTTGTACTTGTACTAAAGTTCAAAACATTTAAAAACCAAGCAGTTAAAACTATAAAGTCTCTTTTAACAATAAATCTCACTGAAGTTGCAGCTCCTGTACTCGGCATGTTATACTTTCTCTGAATTCATTAAGTGTATGACAGAAACAAGCCAAATGACCTATCAAGTCTATGTTTTCTCTTCTGGATAAATTACCCAATTCTAAACCCACTCTGTTCCTTCTTCCCGATCGCCCTTAAGGCTCTCCTGTTTCAAATAACTATTTAATTCTGCTTTCAAATAATTTGTGACTGTGTCAAGTTTGTAACAGAAAATTCCACATTCTACACCCCCGACCCCCTCTCCAATGACAGATTTTCAAGCTTTCTCTGTGACTGTTTACTCAGAGGGTCTGATATCAGCCATGTCACCAGGTAAATACAGCATTGGTCACTAACACGTTCCACAGAGAGAGCTACAGCGCAACTACGACTGAAGTAGGTACCCTCCTTAGCCAGGGTAGGCCATTTGATACATGTGACACGGAGGGCAAGAAGCAGCGAACACTTACCTTTCCTGATGTTCCAAAGTTCTCCCTTAATTTCATTCCATAATACTGGGCCGATGCTTTTAGAGCACTGTGCTCCTTTGGCGTGAGCTCCTGAAACTTTCTGTTCTGGCGATTAAGGTGTAATCCCCAAATATCACACTCAGAAGCCTGGAGACACAAATCAGGTGAACCTTTTTTTAAAGAAAACAACATAGGTTCCCTCCCCAGTTACAGCCAGCGCAAAAGTTGGCCAATAGCTACTTAATAAGACATGACATTGGAAGGCTCAACCACTTATCAAGCCACAAAATAAATGAAGATTCATAGTTTAACTTGATTCACGCCAGTTACCAAGCAATGGATGGACCAGATCACATGGTGACTTATTCAATGCCTGTTTTGTTCTTGCTGGTTAGAACACACTGCCCCTTGTGTAAAACAAATCTTGAATGGCTTGAATTTTAAATATTTTCCACTTGGTTCGGATTTCTCTACTACAGCAATTAGTTTCTCCCGATCTAACCCATCAATACATTCAGGATCATGAATCTACGTGATAGCACTGAAGTTAAGAAAAACACAAATAGCAGGATTAACCCAAATAGCCCATGGAGGCTGCTCCACCATTCAATAGCCATGGCTCCATCATGACTGGTTTGAGTGTGCCTGTAACTTCATTCTCCCTTCTAGCGCACATAACCGCAGACTCCTTGTCAAAAGTCTGAACATATACGGGGCTAGTTAGACAAAGATAAAGACAAAGACCCAGTCTCCATTACTCTCTGGGAAAAGAGAATTATAATGATCCTCTGAGGAAGTTCCTTATCTCTATCTTAATTTTTAAACTGTGTCCACTAATTACATAGAAACTAGGAGGAAGCTGCCAAATCAGCCATTTGAGTCTGCTCCACCATTCAGGATGACAATGGCTGGTTCTCTATTTCAAAGTCTTATTTCTGTTTTCTCCGCATACCCCTTGATACCATTAATATCTAAAAAATGTATCTCTTTCTTGACAATATTTAGTGACTTCTATAGTGGAGAATTCCATAGATTCACTACCTTCTGAATGAAAAAATATTTTCCTAATCTCAGTCCGAAATGGCCTACCCTGTATCCTGAGACTGTGTCCACTGGTTCTAGACTTTTCAACCAGGGAATAAATCCTCCCTGCATTAGCTTACAGCTTTGTTAGAACGGTTTCATCTTTCATCTCACCTTTCTTAACTCTAGTGAATACAGGCCCAATCCAACCATCTCTACTCAAAAAGACCACCTTGCCATCTCTGTTATTAGTCCAGTAATTCTCTACTGTACTCTGTCTCCAGCAAAAATGTCCTCTCTTAGGTAGGGAGACCAACACTACACATAATACTTTAGATGTGGTCTCAAAAAGGTCCTATAGGACTGCAGTAAGACATCCTTACTTCTGAACTCAAATCATCTCGCAATGAAGGCCGATATACTATTTGTCATCTTAAACTGCTTGCTGCACCTGTCTGTCTTTCATTGACTGGTGGACAAGGACACCAAGATCCCTTTGTACATCTACATTTCCCAATACTTCACCATTAAATAATACTCTATTTTTCAAAACAAAGTGTTTTTCGCATTTAGCCACATTGCAGATGCAGTACAATGTGTTTGCTCACACATTCAAACTTGTTTGAATTGATTTTACTATTGTCACGTACCAAGATACAGTTAAAAAGTATTGCTTTACATCCTATCCAGATAAATCATACTGTGGAGGTAGCCCCTGATCAGAGTGGCAAAAATAAAGCAGCAGTACTGCCTGCCATTGGTATAAATATGGCTGCAGTAACAGAATTAGCTTGCCTGCTCCAGCTTTTAAGTGAGGTCATTAGTTAGCATAATGGTAGCTTTGAGAAGGAGTTATCTCAAAGTAACAGGGTCTACTTTGAACAAAGAATCTTACAAATTAATATGCAGAGAGTTTTGCACAAACAGCAGCTGCAGACATCTACAAGAACAATTTGATAAGAAATGTCTAAGAACAGACAGCCTGAAGTTTGTAGCAAGCATTAAAGAGAAGAGTAGGATCCCACAATGACAGACAGATGATAAGTATGGGATTATGGCTTTTTAAAATCTAGGAGATCAGACAAGTTTATTGAGCTGTGAAAGTGATTGAGTGTTAGTCTTATCAATGAGAAAGATGTTGTTTTATTAGGTAAAGAGTTAGTCAATTAATAATTTGACTATTTGACAATAAATAGTCAATAAATTAGGCAATAAATTTCATCCCAGAAGACAGTATGTGACCTGAGTGAGTTATAATGCAGCTGCAAGATACAGGGGAGTGTCTAGCTGAGCCTCCAAGGTCAGGTGGGACCAAAACTGCTCACAACTCATTAGCGAAAGAATGCTAACAGTAGGTGTAAACATAAAACTTTACACATAACTAACTTTATAGTAGAACTGATATTATGAATCTTACAGCAATTAGTAAGAACTACCTTCCTTTTGTATCTCCTGTGACTAGGACAGTGGGAAACCTAAGACGATTTACAGAATTTGATAGGGACAGCAATGAATAAAATGAATAACAGAATTCGAGCAGCCCTTAGGGAAAAGCAAGTCTGGGAGACGTCTGAGAAAGAGTATAAACATTAACCGTGGAATGTGAATTAATGGGTTGCATTGTAAGATCCCAAGGCCTGATGATTATAATGTCTGGTAAACGTCATGAGATCATGGGGAACCTAGGGCTGTCCATAGGGGTATCCATCACTGATCAGGTGTTTCACAGGATTGGATGTATAGATTAAGGAGGAAGAAACGATGACAATGTTGCATGTAATTACTGTAATGCGAAACGTACAAAAATGCTGTATCCTACTGGGAAATCAGAGCGTCATTGACCTCTCTTTCAATCCGAGCCCTACGTAAAGGCCAGATTTGAAGTGGTCTCTGGCCTGTCCCATACATATGGTAAAAAGATCGAATAAAAATCAACTGTATATCTGAACACAGAACACGAGGCTGCTCTTTGATATCTCTCCCCAACAATATCTTACATAAGTACATTAGGGCAATAGAACAGCACACAGAATATAGCAGAACAGCTATAGAGAAGGTGCAAAGATCAGCTCTAAGTTATGACAGGTCCATTCATAAGACTGATAACAACAGGAAAGAAGCTGTTCTTGAAGTTACCATGTCTAAATTACCATGAAGTTTCCTCTGCATCCTTCACACAGCCCCACCCAGTTTTGTGTCATCAGCAAACTTGGAAAAATTGAATGTCTTCCCCCATTCAGGTTATTCATAGATAATTATGAATAAATGGGGCCCCAAGCACTAATCATTGTGGTACCTGGGATAATCAAAGGGAAATAAAGCACAAAAATAAGAAGGACTTCATAAAACTATATAGACTGGCACTGCAGGCAGTCCAGAGAAGTTCACGAGGCTATACCAAGCAGAGGGACTGTCTTATGAAGGAGATGTTGAGTAGTTTGGACCTGTACTCATTGGAGTTTAGAAGAATGAGAAGTAGCCTTATTGAAATATACGAGATTCTTAGAGAACTTGATAGGTTAGGGGCAGAAACGTAGTTTCCCCTTATGGAAGAGTCTAGGACCAGAGGGCATCATCTCAGGATAATGGGTTGCACATTTAAGTCAGAGATTAGGAGGAATTTCTTCTCGCAACAGCTAGTGAATGTCGGGAATTATTTAACACAGTGGGCTATAGAGGCAGACTCATTATGTATCTTCAAGGCTGAGATAGCCAGACCTCTAATCATTGATTATCAAGGGTTATGGAGAAAAAGGCAGGACAGTGGAGTTGAGGAGTATCAAATCAGGCATGATTCATTGAAAAGGTGGGCTGAATGGTCTATTTCTGCTCCCTACACTTTATGGTCTTAACCCACTGGTCACTGCCTACTACCTGGAAAAAGATCTAACTTTTCCCATCAGTGAATCAATTCTCAATCCATGCTAATACACCCAATCTGCCCCCAAGAAGGAACATCCTTGGAGTCTAGCCAGTTTAGAATTTTAAATGTTTCAACGAGATCACCTCTCATTCTTCTAACCTCCGCTGAGTATTAGCCCAAGCTGCTCAAACTTTCCTCAAAGTACAGCACCTTCATCGTGGCCTCATGAATGTTTTCTGAACTACTTCCAATCGAAGTATGACCGTTCTTAAGGAAACCAGAACACTACGTGGTCTCACCAACACACATTTCCCCTACTATTATGCTCCATTGCCTTGAAATAAAGCTCAAGATTCTGCTTGCTTTCTCAATTACTTGCTGCATCTGTACTTTCATTTTTTTTGTGATCTATGTGCAAGGATATTCTGATCTCTCTGTACCACAGCACTGTCATCTCTTTTCATTCAAATAATATCCCGTTTTCTACTGTTCCTACCAAAATGGAAAAACAAACAATCCCTATTGGCTGAAGAGCAGAATCAATCAGTTCACTTCAAGTAGTCTCCCTCTGTCAGAGGTTGCAGTCTGTCCTGCTACTTAGCCACAATATTCCATAACTGACTGGTTACCTGGAGGCAGAGAGAAATTTTGATCTTTGCTGCACCAAATTCCATGAGGAATGTTCTATGCAAGGACATACTACGGAAAAAGAATCAAAGCAAATTGACATAATGCAGAAATCTCGACTCACCACCTCGTTTTGGCTAGTTTTCATCAAGGGGTTACTCCCAGAATCTACCTGTGCACTTTGATTGTTCTTTGTAGTCTGTCCTTCCCTATTTTGCTTGATAGCTCTATATTCTCTGTACAATTCTGTGAATTCAAAAACATTGATTATTAGTGTGTCCTGGGACATAAACAGTTTAATCAAATACATTAGTGTCAATGGATTCATTTCCAATACTGTACAATATAAACAAGTTCAATGCACATCAGGCAGCCACCATCCAAGCAAGATGGAGCAGGTTGCATACTTTTCTTTCAGATATATTATTGTACCGTGCACAATTCCAGCTGACCTATCATGCAATTGGGAAGGGGGGTGTTCAAGTTCAGATCTTCCTTATACACACTACAGTCACTAAAAAAAAGTCATCCTCCAGTCATGTCAGAAAATTCGGACAATACTATGTGTTATTTCAGAAGTTGTATGTTAATACTGCTGGAAAAAGAGGCATTTAGTCAAAGTTTTTCATCTTCCAATCATCAGTATATTTGCAAGAATACCACTGTAGAGGAGAACCATATTATAAACTTTACGAGAAGAGAGTGCTGATTGATTGACAAATGGACTGATTGGTAGGAGATGTTGCTGTGGATAATGCACCAATTTGGCGATGTCCAAACTAATCTCAAAACTCCAAGACCTAGGTCTCAGCTCCACCCTCTGCAATTGGATCCTCAGCTTCCTGATCCACAGACTGCAATCAGTGAAGATAGACAACAGCACCTCGTCCACGATAATCCTCAACACTGGCCCCTTACAAGGATGTGTACTCACCCACCTACTGGACTCTCTGTACATTCACGACTGCGTGGCCAAATTTTGTATGGACGCCATCTACAAGTTCGCTGCCAACACCAGCATTATAGGCCAGATATCAAACAATGAAGAAACAGACGCTTGGTGTTGTGGCACAAAGATAACAATCTCTCTCTCAATGTCAGCAAAACTAAAGAATTGATCATTGACTTCAGGAAGAAAGGAGGAGGACACAGCCCTACCTACATTAATGGAGCTGAGGTGGACAGGGTTGAGAGCGTCAAGTTCCCAGGAGTGATGATAACCAATGATGTGTCCTGGTCCTTCCACGTAGATGCGATTGTCAATGAGGCGCAACAATGCCTCTTCTTCCTCAGGAGGCTTAGGAAATTTGGCATGTCCATAAGGACCCTCACCAACACTTACAGCCCTGCCACCCCAGTAATACTCTTCCAACCCCTTCCATCAGACAGAAGACAACAGAAGCTCAAACGCATGTACAGACAGGTTCAACAACAGCTTCTTCTCCACTGTTATTAGAGTGCTAATTGGACCTCCCTAATTTCAAATCTAATGTTGATCTTGCTTTTGTGCACCTTCTGTGCAGCCGTAACTTTGTATGTCTTTCTCTGTTCAATCACCCTATGATTTGTATGTCTTATATTATGATCTGCCTGTACAGCAGGCAAAACAAAACTTTTCACTGTACTTAGGTACATGACAACAACAAATCAAATCAAATCAAAAGACTGGCAGTTAACTGCCAAGCTTTGTTTACATTTGACTCCCATCGGTCAAAGCATTGCCTTGGAGGAATAAACCAAATAATGGCAGTCACCTATATTATTCATTAGTATTTGTATAAAGACAGTTGAGTTGGTCATTGAATGAGGAATGTGTTAGCCAAACAAACCAAGAAATCACAGAATCAATGTTTTGATCTTCAGGAGGCAAGAGCCTTTTTACCCCAGGAAAACAGGACGAAAGAGCTGACTTCATACATCCCTGGACAAAAAAAAAATTTGGTAAGTATAAAAAGGCATCGTGCTCATTCCTCATAACCCTCATTCAGTAATTTTTGCTGAAAGTGTATGCTTATGGATATTAAATAAAAACCAAGATTGATGACGTGAACTCCACTGATGTGCCATCCAGGAACATTCAATGCCTAGTCTCACAAACAAACAATGGTTCTGAAGGGTTTCCAGCAGCCAGCATCATTGCAACCATTCCAACATTAAAAAAAAGTTAGCACTTTCTGTGAAAAAAACAAGGAATTGGTGACAGTTTTGTACTATCATTTGGAGATGTTTAAATTCTCCTACATCTTGACAAGTGAAACCACTATGTTTCCAAGGCAAGCAGATAAAGGGGAAAAAAAGGAGTAAAACATTAAGAAGTTATAATTGTTACTAAGCCACTGTCTTGCATTTCCTCTTGACTGTCTTTAGTACTGGCCTAAGTAGAGGATATATTCACTCAGTCCAGTCTCTTGATTAGCTAAAGTTAGGGTTAGACAGGAGAAGATCAAGCATAATCAGGAGTAAAAATTTCCATTCATTTAATATATCCAAACTGAAGCATGCCACCTCAGCTCCCTCACACTCCTGACCTCAATGAGTTCTCCAGCTACAGAAATGGGAAGTGTTGTCAAATTTGCTCCAATTGCCCCTCCACCAAACTCTAACTCTGCTCCTAGCAGCTCTCCTTCCACTTAAAGCTTTTATTTTCTCTCTAGAATCTCTTGACTTACAAATGCCCTCCCCGCCTTAAAATTTCCTTCTCTGTTTTCCCAAACTACTTCCATTCCTTCCTTCTTTATAACTCAGTAAACTTAGGTTTGTATTTCTATCGAGCAAAACATACAAGTTAATGTATCTGTAACAACACAATCCATTAACTAGGAATCTCACCTTTGATGATAAAAACCAAAAAATCAGAATGGCTTCCGAACCACAAGAAATCAGAAAAAGCTGCAGAGGAGAATACGTCATGATACATGCTGCATGGATATTTTCCCTGCATCCCAATTATACAAGTAGAAGTGGGTCCCATTCATTCTTTCCCCTCCGTCCACTACCAATAAATTGGCTAAATTAAGGAAACAAGACGTATTCCTTTCATACATTACTTACTTTGAGTCTCCTCTGAAGCACAAGCCACATCAACCTGAAGAGGAAAATTTTAAGGAACAGTAAGTTTCCTTTGACAGACAGAGCAGCTTTATTCCACAAAATTAAAAGATCATAATTTGAAATCGTACTTTATGACCAATGGCTGCGTGAAGCAGCCACACAAAACCACATCAGCTTGATCTGCACCATCACACATTGCATTTCCTCCATAAAGTCAAAGTTTTAAAACATCATGAATCGTGTGTATTTCTAGATGAGACCAAATTGATTTGCGCGACCAGCAACACAGGTATGTGCCAAAACCAGCTGAGGAAAAAAAAAGTATGGAAGACCAAATTAAATTTGCAATGTGTCTGAAGGTACCACGCCGGAACATGGGAACAGGAATAGGCCACTCATCCTGTCAAGCCTGCTCCATCATTCAATACATTCATGATGGACCATCCGTTACAAGATTGGCTTAGGACAACAGAGACATGAGCGTGCTGGTGTTAGAAGTAATAGCAAAACAGATAAAAATTTCTCTAAGCTTGAAGGGAAATCAATTGGGTCCAAAAATACTTCTCTTCTAAAATTGGACAAATCTGAAAGCCATCAAAATAGTAACATTCTGATTGCTAAAAAACTTACAACCAAGACAAAAAAGTCAACAAATTTCAGCTGAAAAAAGATCATGGCAGAATTTATCGAACTTAAGGGTTCAATTATACCAATTCCATTGGTTATTCACAGAGATTAAGCAAACAATGTAGTCTATTTGTGAGGATAAGATTATTGATAGTTTTTCAGATAATAAAGATTGAGGGTAATGAGGATACTAGAGTGATTCTAATTTGGCACACAGCCAAAGACCCAAGACTATCAGTGAGTAAAAAATGAATGCATGGTATTTCTCTAAATTCAACATAAGCTATTGCAGAATTAGAGGATGTAACATTTTATTTATGCTGTCTGTCATGTTATAAAGTAGAGGTTGACCCCCCCTCACCAAATAACTAAAACCAAAACACCCAGACACCTTGCCTTATAATCTGTTAAAAAAGGAGTGTGAAAAGTGATATAACCTGCTTCTCAGCAACTTCTAGTGTTAAATAAAACAAGTCCCTGACATTCACTTTACAATCAACAAATAACAACTTACTTATCTAACTCTAACAGTGAACAAATTAGCTAAACTATTACCAAAATGAATAAATCCCTTCTACATACTAGCTATTCCCGAATAAAACAGGATTCGAATGGTATGCTTTCCAATAAATACTAGTCTCACTTATATAAAATAAAATTAAACAGACTTTAGTCTCTCAAAATTACAGCCAGATTGTGTCTTTTACAATGCTCTGTACCTTCTCCATCGAACGTTCTGTCAGGAATATTAACTCGTTGTGCCTAGGTACCTTCGATTTACATGGTGCTTTCTCGAAAACTTAGAGAAGACCGTGAGAGCTACCAATTCTCTCTTGACAGCTGTTAACTCTGGCAGATGGCAGTTAATTTTCCTGATTTTTTTTTTGCCAACTGCCCTCTCCTTTTATACCCTTGATGGTATTGCAATTTCTTACAACAGGATTGGACCTGTGTTGTCAAAACCATCAGACTTAAAGTTCAATGATTTTTGATCTCTAAGTGCCTGGTTCAAATTGATTAACTAAAATCAAAACTTATTGTCTTAATAACAAAACAAAACAGCTGCTCGGCCTGCTAACTGTAAGGCTTCTGATACAAATATTTCAATTCAGATGCTCTCTGTGTACCCGCAAACCCACAAGCTACTGCCCCCAGACATTTTGTTTAAATTTCTACGCATAGAAAAAGCACATAATCTTTTAAAGGAACCATGTACTGCTTTCTCCCCTGGCATTTTACAAACACCAAATTCTAACGTCCTGCCTTCCAACCCACAATACTCTAACCAACTTCGCAACAATCATCATTAATCTGCCATTTACAACTTTCAAAAATGTAAAAATTCTCTTAAAGGTAGTTATTGTGCAGCTATGTGAAAAAAACCCAAAGTTTAAAAGAAGTTCATTCTTTTTACATACTGTTTACAGGCTCTTACCAAGTATGCAGATCAGTGATTTTTTTAAAAATTGCATTCACTGACCGAAGCACTGTTCAATGTCACAAGGATGTGAAAGGCAATGCAAATTCTTTTTAATACTTCAACAGGTAAGGGCATCTTAGATTATTTTTTGCAAGTTTTGAAGAAGGGACCCAAAGTGCTGACTCTGCTTTCTCTGCACAGATGCTGCCAGACCAACGGAGTTTCTCCAGCTATTCTGTTTTTATTTCAAATTATTTTGGATGGCAACCTGTCAAGAACTAATGCTTACTGGAAACTCTGCAGCCAGTGACTTTTGTAGCCGTTAGTTCAATTAAAGTTTTTCTGATGGGTTTTCAAACCATGGATGCTTTGGATTCTAGACTCAGTGACTACCTTTGTTGGCTTCCGTCTGTTTCTCTCAAAGAACGAAGTCTCCCACTTCTTCAACTCAAGTTTTAACTCATTGTATCGATCCATTTTCCAATAGCAGTCCGCACTGGTTTCTCTCAATCTTTCATTTGTTTCTACAAGGGAGAAAAACAAGACAAAATAAAACATCTGATTGCATGCAATTTTTGGAAAGTTAAAAAGCGGACAATAGTGCATTTACCAAAAGATGAAGCAAAGTAGTCTTTGACAACTTTCAGTCCTTTAGTCCTGACACATCTGACTAGGTATATGTATTGCCCTACTTGCTGCCAATTCTTATACACTTCAAAGCCCTGTTGATTTAGGGGATCTGTGTTAGGGTGATGCTACCAGCTCCACACTTGGCCTCAGCAATCTTAGAAAATAGGGCAGGAGATGAGGGATGGGGAGATAAAAGAAAAAGTACCAGAATTCCTGCCAATTTGTTCTCATTCACTGGGAATGGTGCCTTGCTCCCAATCTACTCCAAATATTTGATACATCAGTTCAATCCATTCAAACCCTATTCTCAGCCGTACCCTCAATCCCTCTTCCATTCACTGGCTCCACAAAGTTGAGTGCTAGTCAGCCAGAACCATTCCCAGCCACACCGAATCTTCAGCCATGGTTTTCTCCTTCCCAACAGAAAACACCATTCCCATCAGATTCCTCCCAAAAAGGTTCTGTTTTTACTTTTCATTACAGATGAAATTGGCGTGCCGGGAGAGAGGGGTTCCAAGGGCGAGGAGGATGAGGTATTGAAGCTAAGCAGTTTTTGTACTTAACATTATTTACTACTTTTTTTGACTGACATTTTTGGAACCATCACTTGGTCAGAACTTCACAACAGCCACTGGTCCGTCCCTCAGAGCTCGTGATCCCACTCACGGCCAGTAACTCATGATAATGAGGTGCTGTAGTGAGTGAACAGCAGTGGTAATATATTCAACCACAAACTGCAACCTCATAATCCAGCACATCCTTCATTTTATTGTTGCCATAAAGCTAGGGGGACTAAGCTTGTTTCCATGAGAGGCAATAGGAGAGCACAGGAACAGCACCAGGTGATCTGAAAATGAGGTGCAAATTTGTGGCTACAAACCCAGAAGGACAAGGGCAGTAGATACATGGGGGAACAGCTACCTGCAACCCACTCACCATCCTGGCCTGGTAATCAGAGACACTGGCTCAAAGTCCCAGAAACCCCTTCCAGACAGCAGTGTGGCTGTACCCACACCTGAAGGACTGCAGCAGTTAAAGGAAAATTGAAAGTGTATATATTATCATAGGCGGCTTTCTTATGAGAGAGACACTGCTTCAGCAAATCAGCCTTCCAACCAACGCACCCCTGAACAATTTAAAGGTGGCAGCCCCTGACCCCCTTCCTTGGGGCAACGAGAGATCGGCTACAAACGTTGGTCCAGCCAGCAACACACAAAAAAAAATCTTAAACCACAACCACCGAGCATCATTACGATCAACAGTAGCACTTAAAAGTGGTGTTTTTGAATACTGCTGAGAAACAACTCACTTCAGATAGAAAGCAAGAAAACTGACAACGGGATACAAATTATAGATAAAAAATGAGAATCCACAGGGTCAGGAATCAGGGGTAAAAGAGAAAAGTGTTCATGTGGAATTTGGAGTAATTGGGAAGGAGTTAGTCGAGGTGAGATGGTGCCGGAGACTGGTGCCTGTTTGTTCCAACGGTGTGACAGAGCAGTGCTGTCAGTTTAGCCACAGGAATGAGGTATCGGGGCAGAGGAGCCCGAATCCAGGCCCACAGCTGAGCCGCAAGTGGGAACTGTTCCAAAGACCACCGAAACTTTGAGATAAGACTTTATAAGATGAACTTTAGTGTTCTATTTTCTGGGCTTTACACTTCTGTGTTTTAAGGTGGTGCCGGGGAGGGGTGACACTAAACAACACCGTATTTGGAATAAATACCACGAGACAATAAATCACAATGAACTTAAGCAAGATAAACTGAACCGACTGGATCGGTCAGGATTGTATTTATTTAGGATTGTGTCCACTGGGGCTTAGAAGATGGTGAATGGGCAAAGCAGCGGCAGATGGGATTTAGGAAATGCTACTAGGGCGAGGCAGGAAGGATGGTCCTGATGCTGTTGGGGGGGGGGAGCCCAGAACCAGGGAACACCGAGTCAGGATAACGTGGTGGGACACTGAGATGTGGAGATGTCTCCTAGCCCAGGGGGTGGGGAGCCTGTGGAATTCTCCCCCAGCACAGACATGGGATGTTTCCCAAGAAGGAGTCAGAGATAGTTCTTAGGGTTAAAAGGGATCAAAGGGCACGGGGAGGGATGAGAAAGGGGGTGGTGGGGAATGAGGGAGCAGGGGGCTCGAAGGGCCCAATGGCCTACTCCCGCTTCCTCCCCCTACCATTAACGGTGTCGCCATGGCAACCCAGCGCACCCCACACCCCCCCCAACCGAGAGGAGAAACCCCGTGTCCGCGCGCCCCCGAGAAAAGGCTCCTGGCCCCAGCGCGCGCCCCCGAGAAGAGGCTCCTGGCCCCCGCGCGCCCCCGAGAGCAGCCTGTTTGCCCAGGCGCGCGCCCCCGAGTGCAGCCTGTACGCCCAGGCGCGCGCCCCCGAGTGCAGCCTGTACGCCCAGGCGCGCGCCCCCGAGTGCAGCCTGTACGCCCAGGCGCGCGCCCCCGAGTGCAGCCTG